ATAAATAATAAATAAATAAATAAATCAAGTCCCCCCATATTTGCCCCTCTGAAGCCTTTTTGGGGAGGGGCTCCCAAACCAATGCCCTTGCATAGCCTAGTTTCCAGCCAAACTGATGGCACATAGCTTTGCTAAATAGACTCATGCTTTTTGGGGACCACAGCTCCCAGAGTTGGCCATCCTAGAAAGGGGGGGAGGGGTTCTAGGAGTTGTAGTCCAAGCTGCCGGCTGCCCCATAATGTCCCTCTCACCTTTCTCTGCCTGTTCAATGATCTGCCGTAGGGCTTTCTTGAGGCTGTTGGCTCTGAGCATGAGCTGCTCCTTGGACTTGAAGATCCTGGGCACAGGGCTCGGGTGGAAGGGGCCCTCCTTGCAGCTATTGTCTGTTGCATCTGGGCTGGGCAGGGCGGAGGGCGGAGGGGCGCTTTCGGGGAGCACAGAAGCCTGGGACTCTTCATTCAGCTCCCGGACCAGAGAGTCCAGTTTCTCATTGAGCATGGCACACTGGGAGGGGGGGAAGAAGGATACAGAAAACACTTGGATGCAACTCTCTCTCAGGGAAGGCCATCCCAGCAGTCTTGGCATTCAATCCACAGACCCTGGTGGCACCCAACATGCAAATCCCATCCCTGATGTGCCCAAACATGCCTTCCGCGCCATGGTGTCCGCCTCTTGCTTGCTGTCAGCCGTCCGCTCGTATGCTTTGCCAACGTCGGCCACAAAGTCATTGACCGTTCCACAGAGGATATATAAAAACTGTCAGAAATATTAGAAATTAACTAGGTATTTTTATTTACAAAAAATGTGAGTCAAGCACTGAAAGGGTTATACGGATGCAGTGACTCAGCCGAGGCTGCAATTCAATATAAGCAGGTGTGCCTGTTGCTTAGTACACCTCAGTGTTAGTTGCCCTCGGTATGAGAGAAGCCTCTGTATGAGAAGGCCTCAGTATGAGAAGGCTCCAGTGTTAGTTTGCCTTAGTATGAGAATGCCTCATTGTTGTTGTTCATTCATTCAGTCGTTTCCGACTCTTCGTGACCTCATGGACCAGCCCATGCCAGAGCTCCCTGTTGGCCATCACCACCCCCAGTTCCTTCAAGGTCAATCCAGTCACTTCAAGGATACCATCCATCCATCTTGCCCTTGGTCAGCCCCTCTTCCTTTTTCCTTCCATTCTCCCCAGCATAATTATCTTCTCTAGAATCATAGAATCATAGAGTTGGAAGAGACCTCATGGCCTATCGAATCAAACCCCCTGCCAAGAAGCTGGAACAATGCATTCAAATCATCCCTGACAGATGGCCATCCAGCCTCTGTTTAAAAGCTTCCAAAGAAGGAGCCTCCACCACACTCCGGGGCAGAGAGTTCCACTGCTGAACGGCTCTCACAGTCAGGAAGTTCTTCCTCATGTTCAGATGGAATCTCCTTTCTTGTAGTTTGAAGCCATTGTTCCCTTGTGTCCTAGTCTCCAGGGAAGCAGAAAACAAGCTTGCTCCCTCCTCCCTGTGGCTTCCTCTCACATATTTATACATGGCCATCATATCTCCTCTCAGCCTTCTCTTCTTCAGGCTAAACATGCCCAGCTCCTAAGCCACTCCTCATAGGGCTTGTTCTCCAGACCCTTGATCATTTTAGTTACCCTCCTCTGGACACATTCCAGCTTGTCAATATTTCTCTTCAATTGTGGTGTCCAGAATTGGACACAATATTCCAGGTGTGGTCTAACCAAAGCAAAATAGAGAGGTAGCATGACTCCCCTGGATCTAGACACTAGACTCCTATTGATGCAACTTTCTAAGCTTTCCTTTCTTCTCATGATGTGGCCAAAGTACTTCAACTTTGTCTCTAGTATCCTTCCCTCCAATGAGCAGTTCGGGCTTTATTTCCTGGAGGATGGACTGGTTGGATCTTCTCGCAGTCCAAGGCACTCTCAGCACTTTCCTCCAGCACCACAGTTCAAAAGCATCTATCTTCCTTCGCTCAGCCTTCCCTAAGGTCCAGCTCTCACATCCGTAGGTGACTATGGGGAATACCATTGCTTTAACTATGTGGATCTTCGTTGCCAGTGTGATGTCTCTACTCTTCACTATTTTATCGAGATTCATTGCTTTCCTCCCAAGAAGTAAGCATCTCCTGATTTCCTGGCTGCAGTCTGCATCTGCAGTAATCTTTGCACCCAGAATTACAAAGCCTGTCACTGCCTCAGTGTTAGTAGGCCTCGTTGTGAGGTAGACCTCAGTGTGAGAAGTCCTGGTGAGAGAAGCTTTGGTGAGAGAAGCCCCAGATTGAAGGCCTTGTGTGTAAAGCTCCAGTGTGAAGGCTGCTGTGTGTAAAATACTACTGTGTGAAGTTCCTGTGTAAGTTCAGTGTGAGAGGAAGCTCAGTGAGAGAAAGCATGAGAAAGAAGCCCAGCGTGGAAGCAAAGAAGGAAGTATAAAGAACTTCATTTGTGTTATAGAAACCTTGTTCTTGTAAATAGTGCAACCATATTATTTTGCTATAAAGAAAAGCCTCCTAAAGAAGAGACAACATTGGTCTTTGTGTTTTGTTGTTTTTATCACTTTGGGCTACTAGTGCTGGGTTATGCTGCTGCTAATAAGTTACTTTGCTGCACATTTATGAGGAGGGTCTTTTGTTAACAAGCCCACTCGCCCCAACAGACTGAAGCCATATTTAGCATACAACCTCCTTGAAGCCCAAATAAATGAACTGCTTCCCTCAAATGAAGCTCACGCTTCCAAGCATACTGTGCTGGAATGACATGGAAACCCTCTCACGCAAAGCTATGGCGACACTTTTGCTCTCTGGTAAAGACCTTTGTACCTAAACCAAGCACTTTCTTAAAAATGGGATCTGTGTGCTGTCTTTTCATATTTGTTGCTTTGCTTTTAAGACACGCTTGTACTGTTTTAAGTTATCTGTGTTTTGATAAATAATTAAATTAATTGTTTGTTCTCAACGTCTGTATTATCAGGTCTTGGGTTGCCCTGGATCTCATGTTGGGAGAAAGGTAGGATAAGAGTTAAAGCAAGTCACTTCTGGTCTTCAGATACAGTGAAGACATCTGCCCTTGCGCTATGCTACTCTGCTGCTGAGTACTCATGCCCGGTGTGGAACACATCTCACCACACTAAAACAGTAGATATGGCTCTTAATGAGACATGCCGCATTATCACGGGGTGTCTGCGCCCTACACCACTGGAGAAATTACACTGTTTAGCCGGTATTGCACCACCTGACATCCGCCGGGAAGTAGCAGCCAATAGTGAAAGGACCAAGGCAGTGACATCTCCAGCCCATTCCTTGTTTGGGTATCAGCCAGCACGTCAACAACTTAAATCAAGAAATAGTTTTCTAAGATTTACAGAGACACACCTCAGCAAGCGAGAGTCCAAAAGTGGCAGGCTCAAACCCAGAACCTCAATCAATGGCTGGTACCAAATAAGAGACTCCCTTCTGGGCACACAGAAAACTGGGCGACTTGGAAGGCGCTGAACAGACTGGCACCACGAGATACAGAGCCAACCTTAAGAACTGGGGCTTAAAAGTGGAATCCACGACATGTGAGTGTGGAGAAGAGCAAACCACAGATCACCTACTGCAATGCAACCTGAGCCCTGCCACATGCACAATGGAGGACCTTCTTGCAGCAACACCAGAGGCACTCCAAGTGGCCAGCTACTGGTCAAAGGACATTTAATAGAATACCAAATCTGCAAACTTTGTGTTTTGTTTGTTTGTTTTTTATGCAATACAACTGTTTTGGTTTGCTCCTGACACGATAAATAAATAAATAAAGAGTTAAAGGATGAACCAAGTCAGAGCAGTGCCTCTTACTTTGCAGAGGAAATCACCACCGAGTGTTTGTCCGACTCCAAGATCTTGGCCAAATGGAGGGCCACCGAATCGGCATATTGGGAAATGTGAGCCTAGAAAGAGAAAAAAGTGCAGCAATGCAGAATGAAGGGAAGAAGAGATCTTGCTCTAGAGCAGGGAAGATGAGATCTGGCTCTCCGAAAACCCCTCCTCTCCCCAAATTAACTGGCTTTTGTGGGTGATCTGCACCTGCATGTTGGAGTCCTCGTTTTCCTCTTCTTTGATGGCTGGTGGGGACTGTTTGGGGGCTTCGTAGGTCAGGACACTCCACCTGTAAAGTGAAGGAGAGGGAGGTTTCAAGGATATGGGTTGCTCATGATCTTCAACTCCCTCTCCCACTGAAGGCAGGCAGGCAGCCTTTGGAAAAGGGGCTCGGTGTCCCATCTTTAGTGCAAGATCCCAGCTGAGGAATCTTGTCATCCGCACTGTATGGCTTAGCACCCCATAAAGCTACTATCTGGGATCCCGTGGCACAATGTCCTACTGAATAAGAATGTTCACTTATACATTTTTATCTTTGCAGTAGCTTCAAACGTCACTTGAGCCTTTAGAGATGCGGTGAGGCTGCAAAAGTGAAGTGGTTAACTCTACAAGACCTATCCCAAATTGGGTTACAAAAGTTTTTGAGATAACCAAAATGGACAAATTAACTTTGGCTGTACACCAAGCAAACATTCAAACATTTCAGGAAGAATGGTTACAACAGGGTTTGTTGACTAACAACACTATATATAACTGTTTTGTCGCGCGCTGGGCCTGTAACAGCTGTCTTTTCTATAGGACGTATACTTTAAGCCCAGCGGGAAGCCAGGGGCCTCAAAGAGAGGTTCTCAGGGATTTTTTCTGAAGTGATGGTCTTTAGAGTCTTTAATGATACAACAAAGTCTTTATTATGGAACAAACAACAAATCTTCAATGGTTCAAACAACACTTCAAGGCTTTCTTAGTCTAGTCCTCAATGGACTGGTACCTGACTTTGATTAACTGTACTTTCTCTGTAGGAAAAAAAACCCTATTTAACCTCTCCCAGGCTGTTTACTATCTATGCCTCATCGGTGTGGGTCCTACTACCGATTCCAAATGCGTCTGGGTATCAAGTAGACCTACCAGCCGAGGCTTGTAGATATTTCAGATGGAGTTCCATGGATCTGTAGTGCTGTCCTCCCTCAGAGAATTCTTTGAAAACTTCAGGGCTGTTTTCCCTCTGATTGCTGTGAGGCTGAGAGGCTGTGAGCTCTCAGCCAGAGCCTTGGGACCTTTTCCCTGGAATTTCTGTTTCTGTTTCCCCGGATGTTCTTGAGAAAAGAAGCTTTTCTACGGGACGAGCTGGTCTACGTCCTATAGTTTAGCTTCCTTTTGTGAGACTGCCCAAAAAATGGCTCCTTTCCCTCCCAGAGCCCTGAACAAGGGGCGGAACCAAAGCTTATTATGATGGACAGGAGGCCTGCCCTATGACTGCAAACAGATAACAGAAAGAAAATAAAGTTGGAGCTCCTGGTACAGCCGTATATAACCCTTTTTGTTAGTTTCCATCTACAGTTTGTTTACACGATGCACTCTCCCCCACCCCAAAGAAGCCCAAAACCCCACTGCTCCCCTGTTTCTATTGTTTTCTATATTTTATTTATTTATTTATTTTAATGTTTTTAACATTTTATCTTACACATTTTGCCCACCCTCTGTGATTGTTTTTATTATGTTATTTTGCATTGTTTAATTCATTTTGTTGCATTATGTATTTTGTTGTGTTTAATTTTCTATTGTTTTGTATATTTTATTTATTTACTTATTTACTATACTTGTATACCACCTTTATATTATTCTGTTGTATTATTTTTGGGCTTGGCCTCATTTTAGCCGCCCCGAGTCCCCATTGGGGAGATGGTAGCGGAGTATGAATAAAGATGATGAAGAAGATAATAATAATAATAATAATAATTATTATTATTATTATTATTATTATTATTACTATTATAGAGAAGGGGAGAGAGAGAGAGAGAGGGTAAAGGTTTCTCCTTGAAATAAAGTCTAGTCAAGTCCAACTCTGGGGTGGTGCTCATCTCCATTTCTAAGCCACGGAATCATAGAATTATAGAGTTGGAAGAGACCTCATGGGCCATCCAGTCCAACCCCCTGCCAAGAAGCAGGAATATTGCATTCAAAGCACCCCTGACAGATGGCCATCCAGCCTCTGTTTAAAAGCTTCCAAAGAAGGAGCCTCCACCACACTCTGGGGCAGAGAGTTCCACTGCTGAATGGCTCTCACAGTCAGGAAGTTCTTCCTAATGTTCAGATGCTGACGTTGTCCATAGACACCTCCAAGGTCATGTGGCCAGCATCACTGCTTGGAGCACCATTACCTTCCCTCTGGAGCAGTACCTATTGATCTACTCACATTTGCATGTTTTCGAACTGCTAGGTTGGCAGAAGCTGGGGCTGACAGCGGGAGCTCAGGCGGCTCCCTGGATTTGAACTGTTCACCTTTTGGTCACCAAGTGCAGCAGCTCAGCGGTTTAACCTGCTGCACCACTGGAGCCTCTCTCTCTCTCTCTCTCTATATATATATATATATTCCTTTTCTATCCCACAACCCCAATCATCTAAGAGACTTTGGATATTTGATACAGGTTTCCCCGCACCCACTCTCTTACTATTTATGGATTTTTAAAATAGAGATATACAAACTTGGTGTATTGTTTTAAAATGGAAGAAACAATGATAGTGAAACATAATTAAAAATTGCTTTATATAATACTAATTTAGGTTAGGTAAAGATTGTCCCCTGACATTAAGTCCAGTCATGTCTGACTCTGGGGGGTGGTGCTCATCTCCATTTCTAAGCCGAAGAGCCAGCGTTGTCCATAGACACCTCCAAGGTCATGTGGCCGGCATGACTGCATGGAGCGTCGTTACCTTCCCGCCGGAGCGGTACCTATTGATCTACTCACATTTGCATGTTTTCGAACTGCTAGGTTGGCAGAAGCTAGGGCTGACAGCGGAAGCTCACGCCGCTCCCCGGAATCGAACCTGCGAACCTTTCAGTCAACAAGCTCAGCAGCTCAGCGCTTTAACCCACTTTGCTACTGGGGCCTCCAGTACTAATTTACTAACAGATTAAATGATTTTTAAAAAAACGGATCATGTAATAATGAAAAGTAGTTAAAGGATTAAATGATTTGATAATAATTATGAAGATGAATGGGGAAGAGTTGGGGGAGGAAACTGGAAGACTACGGGAGAATACTCTAAGAAGATCTGACTATTGGACTTTACGTTTGGTGACAATATTACTCCTCTCTTTGATATAGGCACTCAACCCAGGAATCAGACCATGGAGAGTGCCTTGAAAGCCTGGGCTAAATCCTGGTATGCATTCTCTGCCCTCCCTGATACAGAAGCCGCTGGGGATCTCCCTTCTGTTTCCATCCAAAGACTATCAGGGGCCCCTTTGGAGCTCACCTGTCCAGCATTTTGGTGGTGGCTCGCTCCAGCTTCTCCAGAACCTGCAGCAGTTGCGTGTCGTCGTCGCACAGGCTGCCCCATCCCAGGACCCGGGCCAAGTCGTTCCCCGTCCCCAAGGGCAACACACCAAGCTGGCACTGCCAGAGCAAAAAGGGGGCAAGGAGGAGGAGAAGGTCAATTGGGCCAACAGAAAAAGAGCTGCCTAGAAATGTGCTTGCAGAGAAACCAAACAAGGCTGACAGATCGATTTCTAGGTCCCCAGTTTCTCCCTCTCACACATACATGCACACATGCACAACAATATGGACTCTTCCAGGAGGCACTTTAGAGGCATTTTAAGGCTAACAGGCTGATAAAGGATGAACCTTTCACAGAATAACAAATCTGACCCTCTGATATTAGGGTCAACCTATGCCAAGCATTGTGAGGCTTTCTCTAATTTGTTTCTTCTCATTCTGGCTGCAAATCAAAGCATCACTTTGGTGTATATTTGGGTTAGGAAGAGTGGTTCTCAACTTTCCTAATGCCACGACCCCTTAAAACGCTTCCTCATGTTATGGTGACCCCCAACCATAAAATTAGTTCCATTGCTACTTCATAACTGTCATTTTGCTGCTGTTATGAATAGTAATGTAAATATCTGATATGCAGGATGTATTTTCATACACTGGACCAAATTTGGCACAAATACCCAATACACCCAAATTTGAATACAGGTGGGATTGGGGGACGGTATTGATATTGTCCTGTGGGATTTGTAGTTGCTGGGATTTATAGTTCATCTACAATCAAAGAGCATTCTGAACTCCACCAACGATGGAATTGAATCAAATTTGGCACACAGAACTCCCATGACCAACAGAAAATACTGGAAGGGTTTGGTGGGCATTGACCTTGAGTTTTGGGAGTTGTAGTTCACCTACATCAAGAGAGCACTGTGGACTCAAACAATGATGGATCTGGACCAAACTTGGCAAGAATTCTCAATATGCCCAAATGTAAACACTGGTGGAGTTTGGGGAAAATAGACCTTGACATTTGGGAGTTGTAGTTGCTGGGATTTATAGTTCACCTACAATCAAAGAGCATTCTGAACCCTACCAATGATTGAATTGGGCCAAACTTCCCACACAGAACCTCCATGACCAACAGAAAACACTGTGTTTTCTGGTGGTCTTTGGTGACCCCTCTGACACCCCCTCGCAACCCCTCCAGGGGTCCTGACCCCCAGGTTGAGAAACACTGGGTTAGAGGGATCGTTATGGATAGGCAGCCTGGCAGCGGGATACAAGGGAGCCCCCATTCCCAATTTCCAAATAGGGAAAATATCATGGAGAGGAAGAGCTGGCACAGACCTGCTTGTGGAGCCCCAGGGAATCAATTTCAGAGAGCACCCATCCGACGCTGCCGTCGCCTCCGCAGACCAAGATGCGGAAAGTGGAGAACTTCTGAAAGAGACGCAGCCTGGCAGGAGGAGAGAGGGGGGAAAGGGGAGTCCATCAGGGGAAGGAAGCAGGCCCTGAGGGGCAGAGCCCACAAGAGGAGCCTTCCAGGCTGGGGAGGAGGAAGAGGAGGGAGAGGAGCAGGAAGAGAAAGAAGAGGAAAAGGAAGAGGAGGAAGAGGAAGAGAAGAAAGGGGAAAATGAAGAGGAGGAAGAGAGGAGAGGAAGAGAAGGAGAGGAGGAGAATGAGAAAGAAGAAGAAAGAGGAAGAAAGAAAGAGGACAAGAAGAGGAGAAAGGAAGGAAGAAGAAGAGAAGAAGAGGAAAGAGGAGGAAAAAGAGAAAGAGGAGAAGGAAGATGAAGAGAATGAAGAGAAGAGGAAGAGAAGAAGAGAAGAAGAGGAGAGAAAGGAAGAGGAGGAAGAAAGGAAGAAGAAAGAGGAGGGAAAGAAAGAAAGGAAAGGGAAGAGGAGAGGAAGAGAGAAAGAAAGAGAAAGGAAAGAAGAGGAACAGAGAAGGAGGAAAGGAGGGAAAGGAAAGAGAGGAAGAGAAGGGAAGCAGAGGAGGAAGAGGAGTGAAGGCGTAGCTCCCCCTTGCTCACTCACCCCAGGTGCGGCCCTCCATTCATCAGGTCAAAGACTTGTGCTGGGTTGAGGAACTGCTTGAACTTGCGGAGGAATTTGACGCCCTGGTTGTCTCCGCTCTTGGAGTTGACAAAGGCCAGCAGTGGACTGGAGCAGGAAGAGGGGCAGGTGGCCTTCCAGAACCCTAGGGTGGGGCAGGGAAGAGGAACCATGAAGACACAGGGTGGGGAGGCAAATACACTGCAACACATATTTCATTTTTGCCTCCAAAATCCTTCCCTCTATAGCAGGCCCGTAGCCAGGATTTTGTTTTTTTTTGGGGGGGGGCTGAGTCTGAGTGAAAGAGGGTCTACCCTAGCAAACCTTTTGTATCGTTACCCCAATACCCCCATGCATATGGGATATATTATGGTGATCAGATCATGATATGAATAAACATAACAGTTTAAATAATACAGCAGTAAGGCCTTCTTGCGGACCACCATGATAATTTTGGGGTGTGGGGGGTGGGGGTGTGCCCCCCCCCCCCCCCCCGGCTACATGCCTGCCTCCATCAAATGGAAAGAGATGTTGCATACTCATCCTAGTTTTAGGTGGGATGGTACTATGCAGTCTCACCTGCCTTTGCTACTTACCGTCTGAGTCAATGCTGTTGAGAGCAGTGGGGGGGATGATGGAGACCTTGTACTGCCCCAAAGGGCACTTCTTCCCCAGCTGTTCCTTGCAGGCACTGTGCACCTGGATAGTGGAGAGCGAGAGCGAAAGAGAAATAGAGGGGGTAAAGGAAGCTGTTTCACATCTCTTCTTCCTCCTCCATGTCCCCATACAGTAGTGGTTCCCAACCTGTGGTCTGTGGACCACCAGTGGTCTGCAAGAACAAAATATGGTCTGTGGCCTCACCATTATTACACTGTTACCTCAAGGCCACATGGCAACGAGAGCGACTGGTCTCGCAAAACCCTCTTGTAATGCCGAGGCAATGAGGATGTCAGGAGGGGGTGCTTATTCAGAAAATTGCATTGGATAGACCACATCAGCTTTAGATTATTAAACATGGTTTTCCGTGGGGGAGCAGATGGTGACTACTGGATGGCATATGTTCTGTATCAGAAACTAGAGCTGATGTGGTCTATCCAATGCAATTTTCTGAATCCACCCCAAATAACCAAACCAAATCTAAAGTTGACCAAAAACTGATTTGTAACCCTTTTGGTACTAATATTGGAGAATGACCTCTGGCAGAGTTGTCCCTCATCAAGTGTTCCCTGGTCAACTGGTCAAAGTGGTCCTTGGGCAAAGTGTTCTCTGCTCAAGTGGTCCCTGGTCAAGTGTTACATGGTCAAGTGGTCCCTGGTCAAATGGTCTCTGGTCAAAGCAGTTCCTGGGCAAAGTGTTTCCTGGTCAAGTGGTCAAAGTGGTCCTTGGGCAAAGTGTTCCCTGGTCAAGTGGTCCCTGGTCAAAGTGTTCACTGGTCAAAGTGTTCCCTGGTCAAGTGGTCAAAGTGGTGCCTGGGCAAATGTGTTCGCTGGTCAAGTGGTCTCTGATCAAAGTGTTCCCTGGTCAAGTGTTCCCTGGTCAAGTGGTCAAAGTGGTCCCTGGGCAAAGTGTTTGTCAGGTTTTACAGTGTATTGTAATGTAATATAGCTGAGTCATGCACTGCTAATAGGCTTCTATTGGAAATGCTGAGTCATGCATTAACTGTATATAGAACTTCATTTGGGGAATGTGTTCTGGCCTAGTCCAGGTGATTGTGAATGATGTAATCCTGGGTCTGAGTTAAGTTAATGAGTTGGGAACCAATCAGAGATTGCTATGTGTGATTGTATAGAATTGTATATAAGGAAGTCATGTACAGTGTATATTTCTCCTTGTGCTGTGATGTTGTTCGTCGAAGGCTATATGTAATTAAAAGAACCTGTCTGCTAAGACAAGATATAACTGTGTGCTGTGGTAAGTTTGTAATATCATCTAGACTGGGGGAAAGACAATGGTAAAACTGACAATGGCCGGGCATGTGCTCAAGTGTATGTAAAAGGTTCCAGAGTGACTGCAGGCTGTGGGAGCAGTTGACTGAAAATACTGTGCAGGAAGAAGCTACTGGAAAGTGCTGAAGTTGTGCAACTGTTCTGCTGCTGAATTGTGACGTTAATCTCAACAGTGTTTCTTGCCCAAGTGGTTGCTGGTCAAATGGTCCCTGGACAAAGGTTGAGAACCACTGCCATACAGAGAAATGGGGCTAGACTAGATGGTCTTTGGGGTTCCCATCCCACTTTATGATACTAGAAATGGCCACACCAAGGGGCTGCAGAGACAGATGGGGCTCTTACAATGGCCTTGCACCAGAGGCAGCGCAAGTCCTGCAGCCTTCGCACGCTCCCGCAGGTCTTGTCACAGACGGCACAGCGGGCGCTCACAGGCAGGTTCCCCTCCAGCCACTGATGGGGCATGGCCACCTGTGGAGAGAATCAGGGCTCAGTGGGGCCACAAGGAAGGGCCTGTGTGCCAAGAGGGTCAATGGCACACTTGCCAGCGGGGGGGTGGGGGTGGGGGAGTAAAGGTCCAAAGGTGTTACCCCGTCTTCATCCTCGATGATGTCATTTCCGATAGAGGCTAGCGTGGTCCACTTGCAGTTGTTGGTGGCTCGGACTGCACAGCGCTTGTGGGCTTTGAATTTGCAGACTGGAGGAGGGGAAAAAACACAGCCAGTGTCTCAGTTTACCTCCTCTTCCATCCATTCAATCATTACAATATTTCTATCAAGGCAGCCAATGGTTAGACCAGGCATGGGCAAACTTGGGCCCTCCAGGCGTTTTGGACTTCAACTCCCACAATTCCTAACAGCCTCAGGCCCCTTCCTTTTCCCCTTCAGCCTGAGGCTGTTAGGAATTGTGGGAGTTGAAGTCCAAAACGCCCAGGCCCAAGTTTGAAGTCCAAAGCACCCGGAGGTCTAGAATTTGAGAATCTCTGAACTCAAAGAAGAGAGAAGAAGAGGACAAACCAATCTGCAAAACTCTGCACATGTACAGAGGAGCATGTCCCTCTTGCCTGCACTTTTCTGGGGGTATCTCGTGCTCACCTTCGCAGGAGAGGCCATGGGACGTGACGCCGGAGAGGGCTTCGCGACAGACGTTGCAGAAGGTGGGGCGGGCATGGGAGCAGGCGTACCAGTTGTGCATGCCGGAAAAGTGCTCCATGTTGAACTGGGAGGCCTGGAAGGAATGGGAGAAGGACACCAAGGTTGGCAGGAGAGCATACAAGAGGGTTGAATGAAAAATAATGCCTCCACCTTCGTTACTTGGGTTTGGATGGGAATATTTTAATAAATCAAACGCAGAAATAATCCTTAGAATGTGCTCTTTAACTACCACTATTCACTTTTCCACATAATCACCAGACAATTGGATACATTTCTGCCAACAATGAACAAGTTTTCTGAAGCCGTCACGGAAGAAGTCGACACTCTGTTTCCACAACCCATCGTGCACAGATCTTCCGATAGCCAAGCAAAGCAATAATGTGACCCACACGTTCTTGTGAAATGCTGATTATGCTTGAAATTTCTCTCTGAGTGATACGACGATCATCCCGAATCAATCTTTCAACCTTTTGCTTGTGAAACTCGATGGTTGCTGTCACAGGACGTCCAACTCTTTGTCTGTCACGCAAGTCAGATGTTCCCAGCTCAACATCTTTAAACTTACCCAACGAGGCACAGTACTCACATCAAAACAATCACCATAAACAGCTTGCATTCTCTGATGAATCTCCTTTGGGGTGACATCTTCTGCTGTCAAGAATTCAATGACTGCATGTTGCTTAAGTCTCATTGACTGACCATCTGCGCAGGATTCCATACTTCGCACTTAAACAACACAACCGTTCAATACTAAGGCTTCCCGTCAAAATGGAACTGTAGAGGATAGTCTACTGAACAAGCCAGTACCTGCCGCATACCAGTACTGTCATCTGTTGAGGAGTTACGAAGGTGGAGGCATTACTTTTCATTCAATGCTTGTAGAACCATAGAATTATAGCATTGGAAGAGACCTCGTGAGCCATCCAGTCCAACCCCCTTGCCAAGAAGCAGGAAAATTGTATTCAAAGCACCCCTGACAGATGGCCATCCAGGCTCTGCTTAAAAGCCTCCAAAGAAGGAGCCTCCACCACGCTCCAGGGCAGAGAGTTCCACAACAGAAAGACAACAGGAAAGTTCAAGATCAAGGAAGGACTCCTGGATGCAGGCTGAGATGGTGGCCCTCCTCTATTGATTTGCAGTGGTTCTCAACCTGTGGGTCTCCAGATATTTTGGCCTTCAACTCCTAGAAATCCTAACAGTTGGCAAACTTTCAGGTATTTCTGGGAGTTGTAGGCCAAATATCTACTATATGCCTGCAAAACGTGGACTATCTACAGATGTCACATGCAACTCCTAGAATGATTCCCTCAAGGCTGCCTCTGGAAAATCTTGCAAATCTCTTGGGTAGACAAGCGGACAAATGTCAGCATGCTGGAAGAAGCAAAGATCACCAGCACTGAAGCAATGGTCCTCTGCCACCAACTCCGCTGGACCGGCCATGTTGTCCGGATGCCCGACCACCGTCTCCCAAAACAGCTGCTCTACTCCGAACTCAAGAACGGAAAACGGAATGTTGGAGGGCAAGAAAAGAGATTTAAAGATGGGCTCAAAGCCAACCTTAAAAACTCTGGCATAGACACTGAGAACTGGGAAGCCCTGGCCCTTGAGCGCTCCAGCTGGAGGTCAGCTGTGACCAGCAGTGCTGTAGAATTTGAAGGCACGAATGGAGGGCGAAAGAGAGAAACGTGCCAAGAGGAAGGCGCGTCAAGCCAACCCCGACCGGGACCGCCTTCCACCTGGAAACCAATGCCCTCACTGCGGGAGAAGATGCAGATCAAGAATAGGGCTCCACAGTCACCTACAGACCCACCGCCAGGACACTGATCCTGGAAGACCATCCTACTCAGGCAACGAAGGATCGCCTAAGTAAATAAATAAGGACAAAACACCTGGGGATCCACAGGTTGAGAACCACTTATTTAGGGCAAGGAGTATGGCCAAACAGGCTCTCATCCAAGTGCACCTATTCCCCACTCTCTCTCACCTCATTGACTTCCCATTTTTGGACAGACTTCAGGGCCCCGATCCAGTCTTCCATCTCCTTCCTATTCTCTGCACAGAGGATGAGTTTCCGGAAAGGCGTGATCACCTAACAAGAGAAGATCAGGATGAGACTTAAAAGAGGGTCTCCAATATGGTCAACATCTGGTTTCAATTTCAGCTCAATGGGAAGGGCAGGAAGTCAACTCTTAGAATCATAGAATCATAGAGCTGGAAGAGAGCCCATGAGACATCCAATCCAACCCCCTGCCAAGAAGCAGGAAAATCGCATTCAAAGCACCCCCAGCACATGCCATCCAGCCTCTGTTTAAAAGCTTCCAAAGAAGGAGCCTCCACCACACTCCAGGGCAGAGAGTTCCACTGCTGAACAGCTCTCACAGTCAGGAAGTTCTTCCTCATGTTCAGATGGAATCTCTTTTCTTGTAGTTTGAAGCCATTGTTCCACGTCCTAGTCTCCAGGGAAGCAGAAAACAAGCTTGCTCCCTCCTCCCTGTGACTTCCTCTCACATATTTATACATCATGTCTCCTCTCAGCCTTCTCTTCTTGAGGCTAAACATGCCCAGCTCTTTAAGCCACTTCTCATAGGGCTTGTGCTCCAGACCCTTGATCATTTTAGTCACCCTAATCTGGACACATTCCAGCTTGTCATCATGTCTCCTCTCAGTCTTCCCTTCTGCAGGCTAAACATGCCCAGCTCTTGAAGCCACTCCTCATAGGGCTTGTTCTCCAGACCCTTGATCATTTTAGTCGCCCTAATCTGGACACATTCCAGCTTGTCAATATCTCTCTTCAATTGTGGTGCCCAGAATTGGACACAATATTCCAGGTGTGGTCTAACCAAAGGCAGAATAGTGCATGGGGAGCATGACTTCCCTAGATCTAGACGCTAATCATAAGGTTGGAAGAAACCTCATGGGCCATGCAGTACAGCCAAGAAGCAGGGGGTTCCTTCCCTGTTTCTAGACATGAAACAGGTTCCTTTTACACCCTGAGCACTGATTCGCTGCAATATCTGTTCCCTCCATCAGGAGAGTTGTGGCTGATGCAGCAGAAATAGCTGTCCCGGGGTACAGAGGCCAAGGCAGGCTCCTGGCCAAAGTCCACCCCCAGCAGGCCTGCAAAGCAAGTGGCCTGTTCCCACGTCAAGGGCCTACCGTGAAACTGTTGTTGATATTCTTGATACTGGTTTCTGCCACACTGGCATCAGACAGGTCCACTTCATCGAAGATCAAGGACTGGAAAAAGAAGGACAAGGGATAGGGAAGGAGAGCGGTAAGCGATGGCAGACGGCACCAACCAATTACCAGGAGGGTCTTCTACCTTCTCCTCCTCTTTGAGAGATATCTTAAAGTGCTGTGGGTTTCAAATATTTATTTATTTATTTATTTATTTACTGTCCTTGTATACCGCCGTTTCTCAGCCTAACTGGCGACTCAACGCGGTTTACAACAAAATATACAGTGCACAGTATACAATTAAAACCATAAAAAACATAATACACAATATTACACAAAATCACAATCCAATACATCTCCTAACTAAAATCGTGGTCCAATTGCATCATCCATATTACCAATCCGTAATCAACACATTCATTGCACCGAATTAACCAAATGCCTGCTTGAACATCCAAGTTTTTAGTCTTCTTCGGAATACCATCAGCGAGGAGGCTGATCTTACCTCCATGGGAAGGGCGTTCCAGAGCCGAGGGGCCACCACAGAAAAGGCCCTGTCTCTCGTCCCCGCCAGCCGCACCTGTGAAGCAGGCGGGATAGAGAGCAAGGCCTCCCCAGAAGATTACACAGATCTAGCTGATTGGTGGAATCCAACTATCCAGCTATCTACATTTTCTGCAAGAGTTTTTGTGGCAAATATATGGACATTTTAGGACAGGTTTCAAGAAGATTCAAGAGCAGGTTTGGGGTGTTTTGGTTCCTGAGAAATCCAAGGCATATTTGTGCTGCTTGACTCCCCCCTACATAATAAGGTAAAGGTAAAGGTAAAGGTTTTCCCCTGACATTAAGTCCAGTCGTGTTCGACTCTGGGGTGTGATGCTCATCTCCATTTCTAAGCTGAAGAGACGGCATTGTCCGTAGACACCTCCAAGGTCATGTGGCTGGCATGACTGCATGGAACGCCATTACCTTCCCACCGGAGCGGTACCTATTGATCTACTCACATTTGCATGTTTTCGAACTGCTAGGTTCGCAGAAGCTGGAGCTAACTACTCTCACCCGACCGAGAATCATAGAATCAAACAGTTGGAAGAGACCTCATGGGCCATCCAGTCCAACCCCCTGACAAGAAGCAGGAATATTGCATTCAAATCACCCCTGACAGATGGCCATCCAGCCTCCAGAAGCTGGAGCTAACAGTGGGAGCTCACCCCACTCCCCAGATTTGGACCATCAACCTTTTGGTCAGCCACAGATGTGGTAATAATAATAATAATAATAATAATAATAATAATAATAATAATAATCTTTATTTATACTCCGCTACCATCTCCCCAACGGGGACTCGTAGCGGCTTACATGGGGCCAAGCCAGGACAACATATTACAGCAAAAATAAAACCAAAACATAAGCAACAAGCAACAGCATCAAAATTACATTAAGAAAACATATGAATACAGTAACAACAGTACATGCACTGGTCACATCCCGCCTTGACTACTGCAACGCTCTCTACGTGGGGCTGCCCTTGAAGACGGCCCGGAAGCTTCAGCTAGTTCAGCGCGCGGCAGCCATGTTACTAACGGGAGCGGGACGCAGGGAGCATACAACGCCCTTGTTGTCCCAGCTCCACTGGCTGCCGATTTGCTACCGGGCCCAATTTAAGGTGCTGGTGTTATCCTACAAAGCCCTAAACGGTTCCGGCCCAAAATACCTCTCGGACCGCATCTTGGCCTATGAGCCCACGAGGACCTTGAGATCGTCTGGGGAGGCCCTTCTCTCGATTCCGCCTGCCTCACAGGCGCGTTTGGCGGGGACGAGAGAGAGGGCCTTCTCAGTGGTGGCCCCCCGGCTGTGGAATGCCCTCCCTGCTGACATCAGACAGGCGCCCTCTCTCATGGCTTTCCGTAAGAGCCTAAAGACCTGGCTCTTCGAGAAGGCATTTAACTAGTCCCAGACTAACTGACAATGACAATCGGAACGGAATACGGATTATGAGATTGGTAGATCCCTATGTTGTGACGGTGCGGATTAGTAAGTGTAAGTTAGATTAAGTGTGTTAGATTTAGATTAAGTGTGTTATATGGTTGTTGATGTACTCTGTGCTTTTGTAAACTGTTTTTATATGTTGTACACCGCCGCGAGTCGCCCTAGGGCTGAGAGCGGCGGTCAACAAATGCATTAAATAATAATAAATAAATAATAATAATAACAAAATAACATTACAATAAACGGAATAACTATAGGAGCCTCCGGTAGCGCAGTGGGTTAAACCCCTGTGCTGGCAGAACTGAAGACCGACAGGTCACAGGTTCGAATCCGGGGAGAGGCGGATGAGCTCCCTCTATCAGCTCCAGCTCCTCATGCGGGGACATGAGAGAAGCCTCCCACAAGGATGATAAAAACATCAAAATCATCCAGGCGTCCCCTGGGCAACGTCCTTGCAGACGGCCAATTCTCTCACACCAGAAGCGACTTGCAGTTTCTCAAGTCGCTCCTGACACGACACAAAAACAACTCACATTTGCATGTTTTTGAACTGCTAGGTTGGCAGAAGCTGGGGCTAACAGTGGGAGCTCACCCCACTCCCCAGATTTGGACCATCAACCTAGTTCAGCAGGTCAGCAGTTTAACACACTGCACCACCAGAGGGCCCTACTATAAAGCCTAGAGCAGTGGTTCTCAACCTGTGGGTCCCCAGGTGCTTTGGACTAACTTGCAGAAATCCCTGGAAGTTGGAAGACCAAAACATCTGGAACCTACAGGTTGAGAACCCCTGACCTAGAAGGAGAATATTCCAATATCTGGGTATCGAACTTCACTGGCAGTGTGTTTATTGCCACAAAGAAAGAGCAAATCACAAAGAAAAGGAGAATGATAGCAGCAGTCGCCTCATCCCCGGCCTGCAGCCTTATTATACAGTTTTGGGAATGTATCCTAAATCCGCAACCCTCAGTTTCCCAAAGACCAGAAGCACAGCTTACCTTGGAGTCCTTGGCATAGTAGAGTGTCCGTCCGCGCAGCTTGAAGTATCTCCGCTTCCACCTCTGGAAGGAGCTCGTCTGCTTCAACAGGAGACCCTCCTTCACACTTTTCTGCAGAGAAGCCCAAGGGGGAAAGCATTAGATTCCTTGATATCGGAACTTTCTTATCGGGTTCCTGTGCATTCCTCAAAACTCAGGCAGGATGAGTTCCTTTTGCTGATGGGCCGAATATAGAATAGGACCAAACAGAGGTCTTATCACTTTTGGGCCCTACAGTGGAACATATATATTTTCTTACTAGCCGTCCCCTGCCACGCATTGCTGTGGCCCAGTCTGTGTATATGTGTTTTGTGTCTGTATATATGTGTATATATGTGTGTATATATGTATGTGTGTGTGTTTGTGTGTGTGTGTGTGTGTGTGTGTGTGTGTGTTCATAATTATTATTATATAATCATATAATATATTATATAAATGTGTGTGTGTTTCATGTATGTGTATTAGTATGCTGTAGTGTGTGCGCTGCATGTGTGGCATCACATGGAAAATACTGAAAGCGTATTGTAGCGCAGCGTTGACCTTGGAGTTTGAAGGAATCTTGTAGTGCACTCTACCATCCAGAGAAGCACCTATGCGACTCAACAGTCGATAGTGATCCTTGTGACAAAACTTTAAGGCCATGAATACTCAATATCTGCCCAAATGGAGAACACTGGTGGAGTCTTGCGGGCAAATAACAGACTTCATGCGAAAATAGTGTGGCTAAGCTAGTTAGTACTGTGTGTAGTATTAATATGGTGTATATGTAGCTGTGTTGTGAGGCTCTGTGTGTGTGCTGTGCTTGGCCCTAGCAGTTTCGGTGTGAGTGGTGTTTCTCGTGTGTGTGCATGTGTGTGTCCCATCCGTAACCAACAGAAAATACTGGAAAGGTTTGGTAGGCATTGACCTTGCGTTTGGGAGTTGTAGCTCACCTACATTCAGAGAGCACTGCGGACTCAAACAGTGATGGATCTGGACCAAACTTGGCATGAATACTCAATATGCTCAAATGTGAACACTGGTGGAGTTTGGGGAAAACAGACTTGGGGAAAATGTGTGTGTGTGTATATATATATGGGTGTATATATGTGTGTTTGTGTGTATATGTGTGTGTGTGTGTGTGTGTATACTGGAAAATACTGGAAAGGTTTGGTGGGCTTTGACCTTGAGTTTGGGAATTGTAGTTCACTTACATCCAGAGAGCACCATGGACTCAAACAGTGATGGATCTGGACCAAACTTGGCAAAATACTCAATATGCCCAAATGTGAACACTGGTGGAGTTTGGAAAATAGACTTGACATTTGGGAGTTGTAGTTGCTGGGATTTATAGTTCACCTACAATCAAAGAGCATTCTAACAGGAGCTGCACTCAGGGAGCACACTACTCCTCTGTTGCATCAGCTCCACTGGCTGCCAATTTACTACCGGGCACAATTCAAAGTCCTGGCTTTACCCTATAAACCCCTAAACGCCCCCCCAGGAGTCCCAAACCCCCAGTTGAGAAACGCTGCTATAAAAGGTTGCTTGCATTTCCGTATATTCTACCATAGGGCCATCTAGAGCAGTGGTTCTCAACCGTGGGTCCCCAGATGTTTTAGCCTTCAACTCCCAGAAATCCTAACAGCTGGTAAACTGTCTGGGGTTTCTGGGAGTTGTAGGCCAAAACACCTGGGGACCCACAGGTTGAGAAGCACTGCTTTAGAGTGGCAGAAAACAACCTGGTCCCCTCCTCAATATGACATTCTGTCAAATATTTAAACATAGTTCCTATGTCCCCTCTTAAGCTTTTCTTCTCTAGGCTAAAAAGGGTCCCCAAAACACCACCCCAAATCTGTGCCCCATAACTCAGCCTCTCCCAGCCCCCTAAACACAAAAGGCACTCAGGGCCACCTTAACACCGAGCGGGACTTTGGCCTCTAGACCTGGGGAAGGAGGACAAAGGTGGATTTCCTTTATGTGGAGGCAACCACGAGGACAAGGGAAATTGCACCTTGGGCAGCAATAACCAGAAAAACCTGATCAGCCAAAAGGTGGAAGGAAGTTGGACAGACAAACCTGGTGTGTCCTGGGAGAGAAAAGAGAATCATATGGCCCTCAACAGGTGGCATTTGGCCCCCAAGAAAGGGGACTCTGTCCCACTCTCTGCCTGAAGACCTGACCCAACTTTGAATTAAAGTTGAGCCCCTTTTGTGACGATGAGCCCCTTTTGTGACTCCACTCCCACCCTTTCAGTAAGATAATATAATCAAAGAACCTGAAACTTTTGGGTAAGTTAGTCCTTTGAGAGCTGACCCATTGACCTCAATAGAATCACTTCCATCTCAGAATATAGAGAATTGCATGCTAGGAACCTTGTGCAAAAGTCCAACAGGGAAGCAACTTCTTAATGCCTTCCTCAGAGATTGAAAAAGCGAGTTTTGGACTACCACGCTCCAAAAAACATGCCCACTATTTTTGTGGGGGGGGGGGGGATTATGGCAGCTGTAATACAAAAGATATATTTATGCATAGAATCCTAGAGCTGAAAGAGATCCAAAAGGCCACCCAACTATAAGGTAAAGGTAAAGTGTAATGTCGAAGGCTTTCATGGCCGGAATCACTGGGTTGTTGTAGGTTTTTCGGGCTATATGGCCATGTTCTAGAAGCATTGTCTTCTGACGTTTCGCCTGCATCTATGGCAAGCATCCTCAGAGTTGTGACCTCACACCTCTGAGGATGCTTGCCATAGATGCAGAAAACGTCAGAAGAGAATGCCTCTAGAACAGTGGTTCTCAACCTGGGGTCTCCAGATGTTTTGGCCTCCAACTCCCCGAAATCCTAACAGCTGAGTAAACTGGCTGGGATTTCTGGGAGTTGTAGGCCAAAAACATCTGGGGACCCCACACAGGTTGAGAACCACTGCTTTAAATGAACCCACTGTGGTCGCCATATAGCCCCCAAAAACTACAACAACCCAGTAAAGGTAAGGGTTTCCCCTTGACATTAAGTCTAGTCGTGTTGGACTCTAGGGGGTGGTGCTCATCTCTATTTCTAAGCCAAAGAGCCAGTGCTGTCCATAGACACCTCCAAGTTCATGTGGCTGGAGCGGCATTACCTTCCCGCTGGAGTGGTACCTATTGATCTACTCACATTTGCATGTTTCAAACTGCTAGGTTGGCAGAACCCAGGGGTAATAGCAGGAGCTTGTCCCACTCCCCAGATTAGAACCACTGACCTTTTGGTCAGCAAATTCAGCATCTCAGTGGTTTAACCTGCTGTACCACTGGGGGCTCCAACTATAAAGGAACACACAATCAAAGCACTCCTGGCAGATGGCCACCCAGTCTCTGCTTGAAAGCCTCCAGAGAAGGAAAAAGACCCTACTGGGCGCCCAGGCAGCACCATATTGCATTGCTGTGAAGGAGTTCTTCCTAATGTTTATGTACAATTATATCTGCTGGAAGTTTTCAGGACAGAGTACAAATGAAACTTGCAAAATTAGGCATTTTTCCATTGAAAAACCACCCCATTCTCTGACTCATCTCTCTCTCTCTGAGGAGACACATATACATGCAATGTGTCATGCTAGGCCTGACGCTCGTTGTTCACCTGGGAGTGATAGCCTTCCTCCTCCTCCTCCTCCTCTTGTGCCCCAAAAGAGCAGAGAGCCCTTTTTGTGGGCTTGAGATGCCGCAGTGTGCTCCTTCTGCCCCAGGGCCAAGGGCTTTGGTCCCGGCCTCCTTCCTCCTCTTTGCTCAGCTCACAAAAGGGAGTGTTTGCAAAGGATTACAGCTTGTTTGCCCAACACAAACTGCTCCTTGAACTCCCTGCCATCCCGCAAATAGCTGATTGGTATTTAAATAAGATGCAAATCGTAATTGGAGCCGTCCCCATCAATGAAGCTGATGGCATCAAATGCTGCATGACAACGGACAAGCTCAGTTCCTGGTCTCCCGATCGGATCCTGCCTTTTGGAAAAGAGACTTCTGGATGGATGTTGCAGGAAAGTGGGGACTTTCCTGCAACATCCATCAGTATCTCAATAAGGAGAAATGTAGGATACTTCAATGTATTGTCGAAGGCTTTCATGGCTGGAATCACTAGGTTCTTGTAGGTTTTTTCGGGCTATAGGGCCATGTTATAGAGGCATTTTAAAAAAAACTCTAGAGGAAACAATCAGGGACATCTAATCACCTCTCAACAAAAGATTGCCCCAGGCACTGCCAGGCCATCAAATGCTAATCAAGGTGGTCAGTTGAAACATTCACATCTAGCTCCAGCAGACAAGAGTCCTTTGTCCCACCCTGGTCATTCCACAGATATATAAACCCATTTCCTAGTTCCAACAGACCTCACTACCTCTGAGGATGCTTGCCATAGATGCAGGCGAAACGTCAGGACAGAATGCCTCTAGAACATGGCCATATAGCCCGAAAAAACCTACAACAACCCACTGCATTTATCTCTGTTTGTGTTGTCTGTCCTTGCTAATTGTATAACCGGCATTGAATGTTTGTCGTATGTGTGGGTCATTTGTTAGGCACACAGTAGAATAATGACTGTATTGTCGAAGGCTTTCATGGCTGGAATCACTGCTTGTTGTAGTTTTTTCAGGCTATATGGCCATGTTCTAGAAGCATTCTCTCCTGACGTTTCACCTGCATCTATGGCAAGCATCCTCAGAGGTTGTGAGACCTCACAACCTCTGAGGATACTTGCCATAGATGCAGGCGAAATGTCAGGAGAGAGTGCTTCTAGAAAAATGGCCATATAGCCCGAAAAACCTACAACTACCCAGAACCTTGGAGTCTTAGTGGACAACAAGTTGAACAGGAGCCAACAATGCAATGCAGCTAAAAAGGCCAATGTGATTCTAAGCTGCATCCAAAGGAGTCTAGTGTCCAGATCAATGTTATGGCACCCTTCCCTTCTTCTGCTTTGGTCACCTGGAACAATTATTTATTATTATTTATTTAAAAGTTTTCTTCTCACCTACAAGAGGGACTCGGATCCGGTTCACAACATGTGTTCATATACAAAAATACAAACCACACAATTAAAAACATATTACAATACAACATCGTCATCAT